CAAAAAAAAAAAAAAATCTGTAGCAATTTGGACGTGTTGTCAATGAGTCGGTCAGTTTCGGTGTTACCGCTATGGGACCTGTATAAGCATGCATAGATGCGGGGGTGGTCATCGCAATCTACACGCAACCATAAAATGGACAGGTCAATACCTTCAAGTGTACCAAGACGGTGACAGCAAGTATTCTCTCTGACATAAGCGCACTGGTTACTGGTGCCACCCTGGGGTAAAAATCTCTTATATTCCGGTGCCATGGTATGTAAGAAAAGGGTGGGTAGGGGAATGCATACCTAGGGATGGACAGACAGCGACAGGGACTTTGTTTTATAATATGTGATTCAAATATTAGATTGCGTATTTTGTTAATCTCATAATTTATCTAGATAATTAAATATTTTGTGGTGTAAATATAATATCTGGTGAATATTCAAATATTATATATCTTTATCTAAATATATATAACTCAAAGGTGACTGACTGACATAGTGATCTATCAACGCACAGCCCAAACCACTGGACGGATCGTGCCAAATTTCATCCGCTAAGAAAGGATTTTGATAAATTCCACCCCTAAGTGGAAAAAATAGGGGATGAAAGTTTATATAAATCTTTTTAGATTTTCGACTGATTGAACTGAAATTAAAGATTGGAGCTACTATAATGAAGACGTTCGCTTAAATAGGACTTTGATAAATTCAACCCCCATGGGGATAAAATAAGGGATGATGCAGGCTGTAAATGTATTAGTTTGAACCTATCAGTACCTATTGGAACGAATAAATTAAGACGAACATAATAATTTTTAGTTCTTTAGGCTACTTTTAATTTAGAAAAATAAAGTTATATTCCACGCGGACGAAGTCGTGGGAGTAGCTAGTTTCTTCTATATAATCATCATAAATCGACATTACAACACCAACAAGATTTCTATAGACCTAAAGTAGTTACTCGAATTTGACGTGGGAATGCCAAGTTCTCTGACCAGCATGGTGCGCATATAGATGGGCGCAGGGGCGGGCCTTAGGGTACATGGTCACAGCCGTACTAAACTGTGGGTGACCGGACAGCTTGTTAGCTAGGTTAAATATAATATTTTCGGATGTCCCCCCGGGTTTTGTTCTCTTTTGACACTCGATTTACATCTGTGATCTGTACAGGTTATGTAGGGAATAGGATACGAGTATTACAATAATATTTATTTTATTGAGCTAGCATTCATAGTTTCCGAGATTTGTAGGTTTCTTTAGGTGACCCGTATTGATTGCTCTCGAGTGTATTTGTAACAATTAATTCACCATAAACTAAAGAAGAAACAAGTGAATAAAATTATGAGTTTTAAGACTTCAATTGAAATATGATGTCACATAATGTAAGACTACCCCTGGGTAGTGAGTGGAGATCCTGATCTCCACTCACAAATCGCATCACTTGACTTGACATGACTCGTACGGTCACGAAGTATACCGCAGTAAACGGATGTTGACAAATCTTCAGAGTGGAGAAGATAAGAAAAAAAGAAAAAGTAAAATAAGTATTTTAGATGTGTGTGATTTGTGGTGTTTTTGTTTCGGTAACAACAGTGTCGGACGTACCCTGGTAGATGAACTAATGTGTGGCTGAACACTTTTGTAGTAATCGAATAAAAGACCGACAGATTTACTGATTGTATTATTAATGTTACAAACGCAGGAAATACAAAATACTATTTCGAGTAGGTACGTAAACCTTACGTGGGTTAAATTGTAAGGATGTTGTAATTTAAGCCTGAGACATATAGTCTATATTCGTAGGTCTTCTTTTATCTGGATCACATTCAGCACAGCCGTCACATTGCTGAAGTGCATGTACTGCGGGGCGATATAATACTATGTTGTCGGTTGAGAGTAGTTGAGACGATCTATATTACAGATGATAGTAGACTGACAATATGTACATGGAAATATTGATCTTATATACTAAATGACAATAGGAAAATGTAAGGTGGGTGACACAGTTTAGACACGGCAGTGCTTACTACACAATGTTGAGTTCGTCTTACTAGACATTATTAAATGCAATTATTATATAGATGTATCTAGGTAACTGTGTCCCAGAGCATGCTGTTGCTCAGTGTGGTGCGGGCACGGTGGCCGCTGATTCACCGGGGCGGTGGCTTGCTGCTTCCACTGAAATCTATTGGTGTCATTGGCTACTAAAACTTCTAGTTTTATAACAGTTATTGGCGTGTGACTCTTGTCCTCTCACTGCTTCCGTGAATGTCCAGGATGGCGACTGTAACTCCTCGAGGATTACAAAGGGATACTCTTTATTGTTCGATACAAAGTCTGTTCTGTTCTGAATTTTATAAACTTCTTGTACGATAAAGAAAATGTGTCTAAATGTATAAATGGATGCGTCGTGAGATGTTACCTGTAAAGTGATGGAATGGCTGCGCTCGTCAATTATAAAGAAATAATTTGTCTGCCCTTAATTATTTTAACTGAAAAAAAAAAATGTAAGTCGAATTTCATACACTGAAAAAAAAAAAAAAAACGCCTAAACCGAGTCATCCCTCTGACTCGGTTTTAGGCTTTTTTTTTTTGTGTTGGAAGTAATACACACATATAGATTTTTTTATTTATTTCTGGTTTCTCTGTCTGTTTGTCTGTTTATACAGGCTAATCTCCGAAGTGGTTGGACTGATTTAAATGAAATTTTGAATGGAGGTAGCTTACATCACAGGTCAACTTTGAATTATGAAAAATTCAAGAGATCGTGGGATAGTTTAAAATTTATACTAAGTTATACAAGCTTAGTACACACCCTACTTAACTAAAGTGATTAGGACAAATAGTGATAACGAGCCGTTATATGTTAATTTCGGTCCACTATTCTCAGACATAATACATACATAGGTACATATTTCGATACATACTAAATTTACATACCTGTGAAAATTTCAACCGCACATTCTGGCTTTTCCAAGTCAAGTATAAAAAAAAAAAATTAGGTATGATTACTGTAATAATAAAAAATAAAATAAATACCTTTAAATTTAGTATTATTTAGTTTAAACATGACAACCAAAGGTTTTAGGGACTGAAACTGTATTCAAATAAAAAATCAATAGATGGCGCTATTTGTTAATTTAATGAACTTATAATGTTTTTTTAACACGCCGAACTCACCCTAAAGAAGACTTGGTTACATCTATGGGTGATGATTCTCTCTCTCTCAGTATGGTTTGCTAGCGCCAATAATAGAATAATGTGATCCATCCCCATTATAATATTCACATAATTACGAGTTCAAGGCAAAATAGGTCTTGCTGTGGCGTCGTCTGGGATAGCGGCCACTTTGTTACCTGGTGACAAAACTGCTCATATTATGTTCAAGATTCCCATAGATTTGGACATGAGTGTACACCCAGTGTGTACACTCATGTCCAACAAATAGTGATAAGGCGACGGTTGTACGCGATTGCTGTTTAATAATTAGTGCCGAGTGCACTGTGGCATCTCGAAAAATATTACAGGCGGTTCATAGAACCCTCAGAAATATTCACAGAACAGTAATCATGCGATTTTGTGGGGATATTACTGTAAATTTTTTTTTAAACAAACGTTGACAATAATATCATGATGAATAAAGGCCAATGAAATGTAAGCACTCTTAATAGACCTCAATCCTTTGTCATCACAGAGTGTGACAGGTTTGATGAGTCATCACACAGATGCACACCAACAGTGGACAAGAGGGCGCGGGCAGCAGGAAACACAAATGCACTTGAACTTTCTGATTTAGTGCTAAAATTTGGCGAAGGAACGCATTCGGAAGAAGTAGGGCAAATGTTTTATCTGATACTAAAATTATAAATGAAAAAATAACTCTATCTGTCTGTCTCGCTTTCGCGCCATAACTACTGAACCGATTTAAATGAAATTTTTACACCATGATAGTGTAGACCCTGAGAAAGGACATAGGCTACTTTTGAATGCGAAAAAAGGATATGGAAAGTTGTATAATAATAATATAATAATAATTAATAATAATAATCTCAGGACAATTCACACAGCGCCATCTAGACCCCATTTAAGCTAAAGCTTGTGTTGTAGCTACTAGATAACAAATACAAATACATATATATTTTTCGTAAATACATATATATTATACATACGATACAAACAGTCATACTCATGAATACAAATGTTTGTGCCGTGCGAGGAATCGAACCCGTGACTATCGGAAGTACGGCGGTGTGCTAGACCACTAGACCACCTAGGCTGTCAGGTAAATGGAAGTATAGTCATTTATAAAGTTAGTTAGTTAGAAGCTTAAAACTTATTTTTAGGCTGTTAATTAAATTTAAGAAAATATGACATTCAAAGTTTGTAAAAATGTTACGGTTTTAAGCGGCTTAAGTTAAATTAGGGATGAAAGTTGGCATGGAATTTCCTCATTTGAAGCTGGCACTATGACAGTTTTTTCCTTGATATTTTGGTTTAGATTATTAGATATTTTTCCTTTATTTAATCTAGGTCACTATTCCACGCGGACGAACTCGTAACTAAAGGGTAAAAGTGCCTGTTAATTAGTATAATATATAATGTGAGACGTGTGGGACGTGTGAGACGTGTGAGACGTGTGAGACGTGTGAGACGTGTGAGTGTGTGAGTGTGCGTGTCTGTATCAGTCGGTCTCGGCCGCATTCAATTACTTCCGCGCTATTAGCGGCCAGTCTAATTGTAAGCGCATCGGGCGACCGGTGGCCAGTGATTCCAATCTATTTTTCGATCAGTGTCGATGCAATTAACGTGCGAGAGTGGGATGATGCTCTTAAATGGTAGTAGCGGGCGCATATAGACGCGGGGCGACGACTCTCCTTGTAGGGGCTGATGCAGGTGCCAAGTGGCAGCGGTGCCGCGCGCTGTTATATAGCGCGCCGAGCGCCAGTCGCCGCCACTACCGCCGCACCCGCTGCCCACTACGCGCCGTGAGCATCCCTTCATACTGAACTAGCACCAATAGTAGAGGTGACGACGTGTTAAACATACGGCTTTGTGTTTCAGGTGTCGTCTGTATCGTATCGAGTGCCGTGTGCGAGTGCTGTGTGTAGTCAGTGACCATGTGCGACGACGATGCGGGTGCGCTTGTCGTGGACAACGGCTCCGGCATGTGCAAGGCCGGCTTCGCGGGCGACGACGCGCCCCGCGCCGTGTTCCCCTCCATCGTAGGCCGTCCCCGCCACCAAGGCGTCATGGTGGGCATGGGTCAGAAAGACTCTTATGTCGGAGACGAAGCACAAAGTAAGAGAGGTATCTTGACATTAAAGTACCCCATCGAGCATGGTATCATCACCAACTGGGACGATATGGAAAAAATTTGGCATCACACCTTCTACAATGAGCTTCGCGTCGCCCCTGAAGAACATCCCATATTACTGACAGAAGCGCCACTGAACCCCAAAGCGAACAGGGAAAAAATGACGCAAATAATGTTCGAAACTTTCAACTGCCCGGCCATGTACGTCGCGATTCAAGCGGTGCTCTCACTGTACGCCTCCGGTCGTACTACTGGTATTGTGTTGGATTCAGGAGATGGTGTTTCTCATACTGTGCCTATTTACGAAGGTTACGCGTTGCCTCATGCTATACTACGATTGGACTTGGCCGGCCGAGATCTTACCGATTATCTTATGAAAATTCTCACCGAGAGAGGATATTCGTTCACCACTACCGCAGAGAGAGAAATCGTCCGGGACATCAAGGAGAAGTTGTGTTACGTCGCCCTGGACTTCGAGCAGGAGATGCAGACTGCGGCCGCCTCCACCTCACTGGAGAAGTCGTACGAGCTGCCCGACGGTCAGGTGATCACAATCGGCAACGAAAGATTCAGATGTCCCGAAGCTCTATTCCAGCCTTCGTTCTTGGGCATGGAGTCGTGTGGCATTCACGAGACCGTCTACAACTCGATTATGAAGTGCGACGTGGACATCCGTAAGGATCTATATGCCAACACTGTCCTGTCGGGTGGCACCACCATGTACCCCGGTATCGCTGATAGGATGCAAAAGGAGATCACGGCCCTCGCGCCCTCCACCATTAAAATCAAAATTATTGCTCCTCCTGAGAGGAAGTACTCGGTATGGATCGGCGGGTCTATCCTGGCGTCGCTGTCCACTTTCCAGCAGATGTGGATTTCCAAACAGGAATATGACGAGTCGGGCCCTGGCATCGTGCACCGCAAGTGCTTCTAGACGTCGGTGACCAGGTCGGCACCGGCTCCAGCGTGGTCGGTCTCCAGCGTGGGAGCGGCCGCCGGCGCCCTAGCCAGCTCGCCTTATTTTCATTTTTATGCAAATTTTGTACTTTCATTTATCAAAATGTATTTATTTTATACTTTTTGTTAGAGACTGCGCGCTCTTGCGTTACCGTGTAAGTGAAGTACTTTAAGGTTATCTCGTGTAATTATAATTTTGTTATTCATTATGTCATTTTATTGTTACAATTGTTGACACATGGCAGCTCGCATATTACGGAATGCACTATTAGCTGTATGCATTTACAAATTAAAATGGCAGGAAACTGTTTCTTAATGCATAACTATGGTAACATATCAACCTACATATATCACAAGTACAAGTTGTTAGCTGTAATACCAGTACAAATCAGTACAACTCCCTTATTTACATACAAATATATAATTAGGAGTATAATGTGCCCAATGAGAGGCGGTACCGGGCATTATAAATCAGTGTTTGAAATAAGGAAATAAAACTTCAGTCCCTTTCAGAAAAACTCCAATGCTCGGTAGTGTTAGTTGAGTGGTTTTAATAAATATGATATTTAAATAATTAAACCGTACAGGTAGTTAGGTGGTGATGAAATGACAATAAATTCAATATTTGTAACAATATGATCAATCGTTCTTTATAATAATACTAGCTACTCGCCCTGGCTTCGCCCGGGTGTACATGTATTATACATATAAACCTACCTCTTGAATCACTCTATCTATTAAAACCGCATCAAAATCCGTTGCGTAGTTTTAAAGATTTTAGCATATAATGGTGATTTAATAGACCTGCATGCGGAATTAATATTAAAAAAAAATATATATATATATATATGGTTTCGTATGAATATTAAAACATTCACAATAGAACTTTTTGACGAGCTCATTTGGAACAGCTTCAATACTAAGTACCCAGGTGGTACATATAGGTGCTGTAGTGTGTGTGTGTCGGGTAACAGTAGCGGTGTCCGTACATGGCGAGGGTGGCGGGATCGATCGGCGAATATAAATAAACACAAGTGCCGATTGACCGATTGTGTTTAATTTAATGCCGATGCAAATGCCAACGTTGCTGTGCAGTACTGTGCACCTACTAACAACAATGTATCACTACCGGCATGCGGCAGCCGGCCTCACCTCACCTCACCTCACCTCACCTCACCTCGTACGTGCTGCGGCGCCGCATACCACATACACACGCTGCCACGCCGCACAGTGGGAACTTTGACTCATTTTCATCTCATAAATCTATAACTTCTGTATTAATAAAGATATGTACATGATTTTTTTTTCTGATAATCTTAAATATATATACTTTTAAATAATGTATGCTTTGTGAGTAAAAAAATATTTTTAATAGTTATAAATAATTTAGGAATACAAAAAATATAGAATTTGTAGACTTACATTTATGTCCTAAGAAGTTTATACAGAAATAAGTAAAAGTATCAGCGTAAAAAACCAAAATTCTTATAAAGGTAGCTTACAAGTCACTCAAGAGCTCCTTTTCTTCATCAAAAAGTACTAAATATTTTTAATTGGAAGGTTTTCTTAAACTTGTTATGTATGGGTCAGAGGTGTATAAAAATGCGTGTAGAACATCTTTGTTAGAGGCTACCCTCGAACATTGTCTTGCATGATGAAGCCTGAACTGTTATAAACAGTTCAGGCTTCATTCGTCTTTGTTCCGTGACTCTTGAGCATCTTCTGAAAGTTGCCCAAAAGGCAAGACAGAAAAGTAACGTATCACACGTTCACATTTCATTTCATAACATAAAACAGTTTTATTAATTCCTCATATATACTAGTAATTTCTGATGTACAATGATAATTTTGGAAAAATCTTGTGGCTGTATTGCCGTCATTAGTGTTGCCACTAACTTGCTTCGGTTTATCTATATTTAATCCAAGTTCTTCTCTGAACCTTCTTTGTACATAAGCCTTCTTTTGCTTTTTTAAATCTTTATTTTCTGTTGTTGTGGCAGACCATTTTTATTGATTTGTATATTGATTGTAAGATAAATGTAAAATAAGTTCCACGAATGCAAAGTTGAAAGGCCATACTCGTATTGATAGGAAGTTTCATCGACAGGTTTATTTTGTAGTTTTTCTAAATTGTTCATCTCTGTGGGTTTTGCACTGCAAATGGTACATACATTTGATTTCTGCTTTAACGTTAGTAATTTCTATACATTACAATAAAAATAAAATAAAATACAATTTTGGCGGATAGTACGATTCTTTAGCTTCACAAATCAACCTGTATGATGGAAACAATAAGTAATTCTTTGCTATCAAACAACTCCTCATATTTTCGTACTGTGCCTTGTACAGATCCAATTTTATGAAAATGCTAAGAGCTTAATGTTTTGAATATGCTGTTATATGTGCCGGTTCATTAAGATTGCTCAATTCATTCTAGTTTTCTGCCGGCAATGCTCGTAAAATATCAATGACGAAACCCTTAAACCCTGTACATATGAGTTCAGTATGAAGTCCACAGGTATCAAGCAAGCCTTGTTTGTCCGTTTCTTTGTCCGAACTGTCTTCGTACGTTTTAGAATATCTTCCTCTTTTCTCTATCGAAGTAGGAGGTTCAGGTTCGCATGTAGTTTTTTCTAGATTTACAGTGAAAATACCATCCTATCTATAGTGTTCACTTATTTGTTATTTATGTCTTCTTGTATGTAAGTTGTTATCGACGTAATATCGGCTCGTTAGCCATAGCTCCACGTCTTTACTCCGCGGCGCTTGCGCAGGGAATCCCTTCCCTCTTGCGCACGGCGGTTCGTGTACGCTCGGCTCGAGACGATAGATAATAAACTGCTAGTGTTTCCACATACACTACATCTCTCTCCTTTTTAAGTTTATTTTCTTTTCAAGCATGAATCAATCCACTCTATTAGGTATTTGTTCCTTGGAGGCATGTGTGCTACGTTACAAAGATGGTGGACTCATTTTGACACTATACTGCCACACATAAGCCGAATGCCTCTAGTGCGATTGGCCTTTCCATCGTAACCAGCAACGTGATTTTTCCTCCTCTTTTGAATATAAATTACATTTATATATTAACTCCAATTTACTCTGTGTTTCACATACTTCACCTTTCTTCTTTTATATTTGTTTTCATATAATCGTTATTCCACTTTGTTATTGTGTAATATTATGTAAGATTAGTATAAAGCACTTCTGAAAAAATGTTGTATGTTTATGACCAGAATATCTCTATCATAGTAGTCACTACTTTATATTTTGTAGGTTTAAGGTAAATACTTATATTTTTTTTTCCATTCTATCTGTCTCATGCAATGTGTTATTTACATGTAGTATTTTTCTTTATCATGTACATTTGAAAACTGATTATCTAAAACATAGTCTGGAATTTCTTCAAAACTATTTATTATTGTCATTCCATAAAATATTGATGGGTCCTGTGGTGGTATACCAGAATACTATTATTATATCAAGAGTTGCATCAACAATTGCAAACGACTTTCCACTATATTCTGTCTACACGTCTGATATCAGTCCATGTAGTATTAATTGGGTATAACTATAACCATTCTTCATCGTACCAAAATTATCTCTCTTATCACCTGCATTAATTCAGTGCTAAAATATTAGGAAAGGTTGTCAGACTAGTCTTTGAGCGTTCGACATATACCACATATATCACCACAGCGACTCTACGTACTCCAGCAATCGTCAATTACATTAGTTATAGAAATTATATTTTCGACCAGAATTAATTTGTGTCCTATGACTTTTGATTTATTATATTTTACTGAATCCGCTCCATTTCACTCCGATAATTAATATGCATTAAAACTGGCAATTTTTATTACTTATATTCAACCGCAATTTAATGCAACATTCTATCAATTTACCTTTAATGAATAGGACACCATTCATCAATACACAATACAATGCTTGATTACCCCGCCAAAGACAATTTAACACAAACTGGACGTTAATACGCAATTTAATGCTTAACGACCCAGCCAACGCAATTTAATGCAACCTGTCCGCCAATACGCAATTTAATGCTTGACGGCACAGTCCAACGCAATTTAATGCAATCTGTCCATCAGTTCGCAATTTAATGCCTGATGGCCCAGCCAACGCAATTTAATGCAACCTGTCCGCCAATACGCAATTTAATGCTTGACGGCACAGTCAAACGCAATTTAATGCAATCTGTCCATCAGTTCGCAATTTAATGCCTGATGGCCCAGCCAACGCAATTTAATGCAATCTGTCCATCAGTTCGCAATTTAATGCCTGATGGCCCAGCCAACGCAATTTAATGCAATCTGTCCATCAGTTCGCAATTTAATGCCTGATGGCCCAGCCAACGCAATTTAATGCAATCTGTCCATCAGTTCGCAATTTAATGCCTGATGGCCCAGCCAACGCAATTTAATGCAATCTGTCCATCAGTTCGCAATTTAATGCCTGATGGCCCAGCCAACGCAATTTAATGCAATCTGTCCATCAGTTCGCAATTTAATGCCTGATGGCCCAGCCAACGCAATTTAATGCAACCTGTCCGTCAATACGCAATTTAATGCTTGACGGCCCAGTCTACCTTACCTCTGTAGCTCCTTTTTTAGAATATCAATGCCATTGTCACCGTCATTATAACTCCATTGAACTTCTTAATTCATCCTCTTTAAGTATTGGTTATTAGTATTATGCTCATTGTTTTTCTTCCTTTGCTAATTTCTTTAAGGTCATCTGAGCCAATAGTCACTTTATAAGCAAATCATGAACTCCTGCAAAACACCAAATTTTATAATTATAGCATAATTAAACGCCACTCTTATCCATTTAATTTTCACAATATATACATTTATGACTACTAATATTAAACATATTTCAGATTTATTTACTCCACAAGAATGTCCAGTAAATAATTCTAATCTAAAGTATAGGAATACTAATAGTATCCTCAGAACTATTTATTTTTTCCAATAATGTATCGTTAGT